TGTAATCTCTTCATAAAAAAAGTCACTTTCTTACAATTTCAAAGAAAACGCGTAAAGAAACACGTAGTTACCCACTAAAAACAAGTATCCTTCCATTTGTAACTTATGTTTGATGTCAAATAAACTTAATTAGGTCTAAACAAGTAAAAAAAAACATAAAAAAGAACATTACTTTTACACATGGCGGATGGCACAATAGGCGTGTCATAAAAATTGGTGCCGCAACGAATCTGTTAAGTGCAAGAACCTTCTACAGTAAGCTACTACCCTGATCATCCTTGAAAGCGATGAAAATCTCTCCAAAAACGAAATGTCAAAGACACCTGAATGGACTTTTACTTCCTCCAATTTAGTAATCAAGTGTTTAGGTTTTTTTATATTCTATCACTGATTGCCTTAAGAACTCGGGTCCATTGAACCATATCGCAGTATTGCAGAGTTCTCCTGGAGCCACGCCGCAAGAGGAATGTGTGCCATTGAAATTATTGTACATAATAATAAACCAGCTTAGATCATACATTGTTGTAGTTTGATTTATATATTATCAACTCTTCTAGTGTATCAATAGGACAAACAGTACAACTAGTGTAGCTAGTAAACACTTGCTTACTCTTATCTTACTTAGTAATTCTTCGCTGTTACTTATCCATTTTCGCAATTGAAATCCCCCTTTAGCTAAAATATTTTTTTATTTCTGTATGAATTTTTTATAATAATATAATAATAATATTCCACAACTATCACACAACGCCATCTAGTCCCAAGCTAAGCAGAGCTTGTGTTATGGGTACTAGACAACTGATAAACATACTTATATATTTCTAAATACATAAATATTATAGATAAATTACACCCAGACACAGAACAAATGATCGTGCTCATCACACAAACATTTGTCCTGGGTGGGAATCGAACCCACGACCTCCGGCATAGCAGTCAGGGTCACTAACCACTAGACCAACAGGCCTGGTTTTATATTCTTCCTCTACACTTTCTGCCCCTGTCATTAAATCATCCATGTAGAAATCGTTAAGAATAATTTTTGTTGCTAATGGATGATCCTTCCCTTCATCATAAGCAACCTGATGTAAAGAACGCACAGCAAGAAATGGCGCCGATGAAGTAACATATGTAACCGTCACTAATGCAAATTCTTCAATTTCTTTTTCAGGACTATCCCTCCAAAGAACCCTCTGAAACATTGTATCATCTCTATTGACAAGAACTTGTCTATACATTTTAATTATATCAGCACCTATACAAGTTGGATGTATTATCTAACGCATAACCGTATGTCGTAATTCTGCTTGCAATGTCGGCCCAACCATCAAGTTATCGTTTAACGATACCCCATTTATTCCCTTACAGGAAGCGTCAAATACCACGCGCACCTTATTTGTCTGCTTATCTTCCCGGAGTACTGCGTGATGAGGTAAGTACAACCCTTTATTCTTTTCTTCTGGAGATACCTTTACCATATGGGTAAGATCAATATACTCCTGCATCACCGCAGTGTAATCTGCCTTTAATTTGTGATTCCTTGAAAGTTTAAATTCTAAACTCTTTAACCTTTTTTCAGATATGAACCTACATTCACCATCCTTACAACTTTGGTTACCACCCCGGAACGGCAGCCTTACAATGTAACGTCCAATTTTGTCTCGCCTTGTGGTATTTGTATAAATATTCTCACATTCCTCTTCCTCTTTACTACGTCTTTTTTTTCAGTTCCTGATGGCTCCGCTTGTAGCTCCCAGAACTTACGTAAGAAGTCATCAGCTTGAACATTGGAATGCATGACAGTGATACAAGGATATGAATTGATAACGGACGAACCTTCTGTACCGACAATACCCGAAAGAATCCATTATAATTCTGTTTTTTGTGCTACGAGCGATCCACTAGTACTCCTTTTGATTCCATTTTGAAGAATTTGGCTGAATATCTCAGCACCTAATAAAACGTCAATTTCATTAGGCTTGTGATACTCAGGGTCTGCGCTAAAACGTCTTCAATTTTACCCATTCTACCCGAGTTGCTGTTACAACTGGGGAAGGGATGTGATGGACTTCAAAACATAAGCATTAACTTGAACGTTGTAATCTGGATTCACTCGAGAACGTATATCAACAACTACGGAAGAATTAGACATAACTGTTTTATTACCGCCTACACCTGTAACCCGGTGTTTATATGCCATTGACTCCGTGATAAAAGATCCTTGTGACCCTTGATCTACTAATGCGCGAACCAAACGATATGTTCAATCCTTTGATCTGGCCTTTACTAAAGCCGTAGGTATTAAAACCGTTTCCTTACAATTTCCTGTCGAAAGGCATGAAACTATTGGCTTAGTCGATCCCTCCGCTTGTACAGCGGTCTTTTGAGTTTCCTCCATTGAGGTAATATTCCTAGTAGCAGCTGACGCTGCTTCCTTATGAACACCGCCCGTGCCCTCATCAATAGACCCAGAACCACCGCTAGAGTGCAATAAAGTATGGTGGCGTCTTTTACATAAATGACATCTGACGGTGTTTCTACAAAATCTGGCAGAGTGGTTACTACCCAAACAAATGAAACATAGCCCATTTTTCTGTGCGAATTCACGTCGAGTATCGTTATGTTCTTTAGCAAAACTTTTACACGCAGTTACCTTATGAGCGGCAGAACAAAAAGGGCAAGATAACTCCGCCTTTCCTCTCTCTACTATATGAAACGATTGCGAACTCCTTTGAACATGAGGTTTATTTTCTACATTTTCTAGGCCTCGAAAACGGGTTGTTAAAAAGGCAGTAAATTGAGTAAAAGGTAGGCAAATCATCCGTGGAATCTGAAGCCACCTTTAATTCCCAGGCTTTCCTGGTGTCCCAATCCAACTTGGCACTAACAATATGTATTATTAGGATGTCCCAAGAAGTTACATCTATCCCTAAATTTTTTATTGAATCTAAGCAATCAGATGTAGTGCTAAGTAATATTTTTATTTCAGTAGCTGATTCTACAGTTAAACTCTTTTGATTAAACAAACGTTTTAAAATTCCCTTTGCTAAAAATCTTTTATTGTTGTATATTGACTCTAATTTTGCCCAACTAGCCGTATAATTATCCGATGTTACATTAATGTTTCTTAATAATTGTTCTGCATCTCCAGTTAAGTATCCTTTAAGGTAATATAATTTCCGCGCACCGTCTAGTTTTATTATTGTGTATTAACCCTAAATATAAATCCCTAAACGTCTGCCACTCACTATAATTTCCAGAGAACACAGGTATCTTAACCTCAGGTAACTTAAAGTTTGTAAATTCTGTACTACAGCTAGATCCTTGACTTACATTACACGTTTCACTAGACATTTTAACATTATTTAATATTAATTTCAACTCGCTTTTAAACTGTATATAAAACTCTTCCACCTCATCATACAAGCCATTCTTATGATAATTTGAATTAAATAAATCGGACTTTTTTACGTCACTAATTAATTTTACATGTGTTTTGTAGAATAATTGCCATTGCTGTTCTAAGTTTTCAATCCTAGTTTCTATATAACAAACAGTTAGACGCTCTTTAGGAAATTTTTTAAAGTTAGATTTTGACTTGAGCATTTTAGCATTAATGTCTTCCTGAATGTCAATAAGCGACTCCATTTTAAGAAAAAGACAAGTAGGTTATGTCACAAAAATAAAATACACAAATTTCTATATAAATAAACTTATTGTCCAGTAAACACTTTCAAAAAAAAAAACACTAAACAAATGTAAATTTCCTTGAAGCACTCCGATATTCGTCTGAACCACTTTTTGCTTAAAATAAATACAAGTTCAAAGTAATATTACCAATGACTAAGTTAATTATCTAGTGAATTTAAGGTTCAGATTTCAATGCACTTTCTTGAATTGTTGAAGTTAAATTCTTCTTATTAATAAGGTCAAAAATGTACTCACAATTTCTTCACTGTACTCTCACCGACACTGATCAGCACTCGACGTCTCACGCCGCACTTGTGGCGCCCTCTTGTGGTCGCTCCGCGAACTCCTCTGCCTGGCTCCTCCACGCAACGTCACTTCCTCCGGCACCCAGCCGGATCTTCTGCTTCGATGACGTCACCACTGACGCCTCGCTGTAGGGATGCTCTGGACAGCAATCCACTGCCCAGTACTAACGTTGCGGGGTGATAATCACCACCACCACCGATGAATACCAAAAACACCTTCACGCCAATCCGATTCGAAGGACCATGTTCAGGTTTCCAAGTTCCGAAGACGAGCACACACAATGAAACGCACAACTGCTTCAATTATGATAACTTTATTCACAAGGAATCTCGACTCAACAAAAATTACAAACAAAAAACAACGAAACCCAAGTGCGATCTATTTCGATCCCAACGCCATCTATGGAAGCGTCAAGTAAAGTTTACACATACAAAATATTAAACACTTCCCGTCGCTAGCATGGACAATTTTTAAGAATGGGTACCAGATTGACGGTTCCGTGGCGCAGTGGCTTAGCAATGAGTTGCTGCGTTGGGGAACGCGGGTTCAAATCTCGCACGAATATCTGTATGTTAAAGTAAACGTTATAGCCTATATACGTCCCACTGCTTATTTTTCAGATATGGAGGTTTCCTCACGATATTTTCTTTCACCGCTGCGCACGTGGTAAAGCAGCATTTAAAATTGCAATTAACTTATCGAGCCCGGGTTGCTCGCGTACTGTGAAATTTAGAACGAGCGCCTAGCCCTTGTGCTATCACGACTCTTGAATTCATAAAAAGTCGTAAAATATATTCAATTTCGGATGAAAAATGTCTCTGTACGTGAATTATTAGTGAAATCAATGGAATAAGAAATCCGATAAAACACTGTCGTTACAGAATGTCTTGTTGAATTTAGTTGTCGTCAAAATTTGTATAAAAAAAAAACTTCGCAATTTTGCAGATCAACATATTGTGAAATCGTCAAGTTTGATCACTGAAAAAGAAGAAAGAAAGAAAGACCTGGGCTGGTGCGGCGGCATAACACCGGGCGCGGCGGGCGCGGCGGGTGCTACGCCGGGTGCTACGCCGGGCGGCACGCCGGGCGCTACGCCGGGCGGCAGCATCGGGGGCGGGTAGGGCGGTGCGTAGAGCGGCTTGGGCGGGTCGCGCATGAGCGAGTGGTAGAGGTTGAGCGCGTCCACCAAGTCGGCGCTGAGCTGCGTGAGGCGCGCGTGGCGGCGGTCGGCGCGCTCCAGCGCCGCGTCCACCAGCGGCCCCATGGCGTGCACGCGCGCCTCCAGCCGCGCCAGCGCGCGCTCGTCCTGCGCGCCCGCCGTCGGGTCCGCCTCGTGCAGCAGCGCCAGCGCCGCGTCCATGCAAGCCTCGTCGATGCACACCTCCTCCTCGACTACCCCCGCACCCTCCGCACCCCCCGCACCCCCCACACCACTCTCCACCGAGTCCACGCGCGCCGCGAACTGCACGCTCTTGCCGCCGCGCGATTCACTCTCTGCAGTAAACACCCACACAATTAAACATTTAACAATAGCTATATAATATAATATGCTCAATGACGTTAAGAACCTATCGCAAGATATACTCTACATGTTATACTTTACATTTTTGACGTGACAACGTCTTATAATTCGATGAAGCTGGCTGCACGCACGAAAAAACGTAACTCATGCGGCGTTACCACGCTCTGAGGCGTTCCATTTAAGGCTTAAAATGCAAGCGAGAGCGCGGAACGAGCCACAAAGAGGCACAATCGGCCTCCGCGTTCGACATCTGTCTCTCTCCTACTTGAGTGAGCGATGCGTCCGCATGGACAGCTGCTTTACAATAATACATTTACATGTTTTCGTCAAGTATGAAGTGCAGTGAAAAGTGAATGTGGTGTCAATTGTTTATAGCAACATTTTCTTATGACGTTGACAACGTTCAACTATCGTCAATAAACCGACTTTACAGACAACCGATTTTTTATATCTATTTATAGTCTTGAATCCCCGACTAGTATCCCACCTAATGATAAGTAGATGTAAGTGAACATAGGTAAAGCCTGACTTAGCTTAACATAAACATATTATACACTCGTACATTAAAATGTATAAAAAAAAACTAGCGGTCCACCCCGGCAGCAATAACAGCGCCACCTATTGTGTCCAATTATGAATCTAAACCTTTCCCAAATCAACTGAATCACACACTCACAAAATCTCATAAAAATTGGTCCAGCCATTTAGGAGGAGTTCAGTCACATACACACGGACAGTATAATAAAAATTTATATAATACCGGGTGTTTGTGAAACGCTTCCGAAAACGAAGACAGACGATAGTATTATACCTTTGATGATGGGTGAGAAATAAAATCGATCCTGAAAAAAAAATCATCTTTCCGCAACGTTTTATTAGCTTTATTCACGCCCCATCATGTTGGTACAGCTAAATAAAATGATAATTTCATTAAAAAAATAATGGAAATACTTAAACATTAAACCAGCAGTGAAATTTAAAATAAATAAATCATAAATTGAGCTGACTAGGATCAATATCCGCGCGTAAGCCAAGCTCTTTTATCTAACTCGGTACGAAACAATACATTACCTAGGTATTATACTATTCTCTCTATCCTTCCCTTTCACACAGGCGCTGCCGCCGCCCGCCGATTTGTGTTACCTCGCGTCAGCGTTACCAACATATGGGGAATTTCCCAAATTGCGGGGAATTTAAAGTTGGTTGGGAATTTTATGGGGATTGGTATTATGCGGGGAAAATGCGGGCATTTTGAACGCGTGGAGGTATCAAGCTGAAATTCATATCAAATACTCCAGTATGCTGTCCCTTGAAGCTGTGAAAAAAAAAATCAAACTTCAAAAGATACAGCCGTTTATGCCGCAAATTTTCGACATTCGCAAGGAAATCAAAACCTACAGGGTACTTCCCGTGAACTCAGAATCTTAAAATTTGGTACGAAGCAACGTATTATAGCAAAGATAAAGAAAAATTGCGAAAAGCATAAATTTTTAGTTACATCATATAATAAAAATATTTTTAATAATTTTGAACTTATATACCTACAGATTTGTTGGGAACCCTCGGTGCGCGTGTCCGACTCGCACTTGGCCGGTTTTTATTTTTAAATGTCTTCATTGTACCACATTTCATTTTCCGATTTATTTTGGCAACTTTTGTGTATCATATAATGCTTTTCATTTCTTATTTTTCTAATTTTAAAGCAGAGAACCGCATGCATATAAATGCAGATACTGTGGTACTTTTTAATGGCAACAAGGGAAGGAATTAAAAATACTCCATTGAGTAAAATGCTTGTTACAAAAATATAGAAAAGGTGAAAAAAAATTCATTAAAAAGAAAAAAACATGTTATTTAGAAATAACTCTTATAAAATTAGTTGAAAATTGCTTAATTCCTTAAAATAAAATTGAAATTAAATCTGTTGAATTTGTTTTGTCCTTGAATTGGGGAATTTGACATGGATTTTCGGAGAATTTGACAAATTGGTGTTGGCAACGCTGCCATGTTGCACCGAAATTTACCTACTAAAATTTGTTCGCAAGCGACATAAGAATTAGAGGCGGCAATCACAATAAAACTTGCAAGTAATTTTTAATAGTTTTGACGTACCTCTTTTTAAATAAAAGTATTGGACGGATTAAAAACGGAAAGTCAATTAAAATAAAGTAAAAGAATTATTTTTTAGATTAATTAACTGTCGATCATAATTGCAATTAATTTTAACTATTAAATTATTCAATACAATTTCATTTTTATCCACTCAACCGTCCACGGTGACTACAGTCCCCAAAAACCATTATTTCCTCACCTGTCTAGGCACCAAACGACATCTTTCGGTTTAAACGTGTGCAGCGCAAAAGATTGCTGTTATTAATACAGTAAAAAATTATAGATGGTGCTATATGAAATTTGTCGTCTGTGAAAGTGAATTTTATCTGTATAATATAATAACAAAATATTTAGGAAAAAAAAGTTAAAATTAAATTTCGCCATTTTTGTTTGTGGAATTAACGTGTGAGAAATCCCATCAAAAATATGATAGCTTTTCTGTTCTTATACGTTATTTCTAATGTATTATACATCAAACTAATTGTGAAGACATTTTCTTTAGTAAATATGTATCATTACGACAATTCCAAAACGTTTACATATAATAATTTAGCTCTAAATTTTAATCACTATACGCGATCATCGTTTATTGATTATATGTTGTTTAAAATTTATTCTCAGTTCTTTATGTTAAATGAATGCAAAATATAAAATAATGATTAACTATTAACAAGCATTTTATAAACGAAATATCTGTTGAGATGTGTCTAGAAGTTATTAAAACCTATTTTTTTCATTTATTTACTTATTTATTCAAATTTATATTGGGTAAACATTATATACTTATGTATATTGAGTATATAAGATATTATTGGTATTGGTGTCATTTTAAAGGGAATATCATGTACTATTATCATATAAAATAAATACGATTTTTTTTATATTCCCATTTTTAAGCTTTATTTTCAGGCTTTATTTTTAATTTGACTAATTTTCTTTTAACAAAATAATATTTTTAATTCTTTGAGTCTTTTGAGAATATTTTTTATTTGAATGTAGCTATAGTAGTTTTTCAGTAGTAATCGTTTTTGTTAACTGTCTCACGCGGTCGTAAAAAATAGTGACATTTAATTCGCGGACAGGTCAGGCGAGAATTACTCGCGCGGGGCGGACGGTTGAGTAGCTATTTTCTTGTACAAAATCAGAGATAACGATGAAATAGTTTTTATAATTGTGTGAGTACTCAAGTAGGTACGTTTATTAATTTCAATATCATTTTGTAGTAACGAACTGCTTGTTTCGTCACGGTACAATTGGTTGTCTAATTGTATTAAAAATTACAACTACAACTTCTAAATTCCCTATGAAGACTAGTCGTAGGGATCGTATGAAAACTAAACTTATAAAATAAAAGTTGGCAATGTAATAACTGTTTAACGATCTGTGGGAACGCAGTAGGCTTCAGTTTTGGCGGGATTCATTATTAATTTTAGTTTTAGAGACAGTTCCGTGTTGACTTTGGCCACGCGTGCGCGAGCTGTTTTGCGTTTTGTTTATTAAATTCTTATTGTTATTACTTGGTATTACTTGTTATTACGTGTTGTTATTATTCTTGTTGTTACGTTTTGTGTTTTTTTTTTGTTTTAATAATGCCTAACGCATACGTTTATAATGCTCGTGAATACGGCAAAATGTTAATGGGCCTTGGAGAAGCTTGCGGAAATGCTTCGCATGTATTACGCATTTACCGAGCGAAATTCCCGACCGCTCGACACCCAGCTGACTCTCATCTGATAACAGCAACATTTCAGTTAATGTTGGAAAATCGGCCCATTGCTCCGGTAGCGGCAGGAGTTGGAAGTCAAGTGGCTGTTCACTCCGAGGAGCGCATTTTAGATGTCGTTCGCCGGTATCCGAACCTAGGTACACGAAGTATCGTTAAATTGTTAAGACGTCGGGATGGAACAAGTGTATCATACTGTGCAGTTCACAAGGTGTTAAAGCGTAACCGAATGCGCCCATACAAAGTGAACAAAGTGCAAGCTTTAGTTCCCGGCGATCACGACCGCCGGCGAGTTTTCTGCCGTTGGTTTATTATATTATATATTATTATTAGACCAGCAACAACGTGTGCCTGGTTCCATTGAGCACGTTATCTGGACGGATGAGTTGACATTTACCAGAAGCAGCCTGTGTAACCGAAGAAATATACAAGTGTATTCAGCCCGCACGCTGTTCGACAAACCGGGCACCAAACCCAATGGTCGGTTAACATATGGGCAAGTTTATTTAAGGATCGCATACTGGGACCAGTGTTTACTTAACGAACAGCGATACCTAAACTTTATAAATGAACAGTTGGTTGACATTTTAGACGACCTATCGTTCCAGCACGATGATGCACCTCCACATGTCGTGAGGTTCGTCCGTGAGCGCCTCACCGAATTATTTGATGATCGCTGGATTGGCAGACTAGGACCACACGCTTGGCCACCTCGCTCACCAGATCTAACCCCGTTAAGACTTCTTTCTGTGGGGGTATGAGACAGAAAGGTATTTTTAATCATGAGTGAAATACGCCAAAGGTCGTGGATGTTATCGACAAACTACGTACGGAGTGTGTCGAAGACCACACGATGATTTGAGCCGCATCTCATAAGGCCAAGGAGGATTTAGAGCGGTAGGTTGTTTCATACCTAATTTTTTTAAACAACTTAGTACTGACCCGTTCTGAATAGGTACACAACTGAATACATCAGAATAATAAACATACCTACACGATGGATAAAAAAACATGACCCAATCAGTTGAAATTTCATTTTTTCACTAGCGGGGAATCGAATCAGGTATTTGGTTTATGTCAGCTAAGTTTATAAAGAATTAAGAAAAACATGGCAGACACTTCTGAAGGGGTTTACAT